GCCCTCTCCACAACAATGTTCAATATTAGATCCAAGAAATCTGATAGGTTGTGAATTATTTGAAAAGAAGTACAAAGTTGATGAGAATAAAAATAAAAATTTATGAAAACTAGGGGTACTGTACATGTGAGCAATGCGATCACGCTCACTAAATGATATCCCCGCCTCACATATAATTATAAAGAAGTACATGTTTTGCTCTGGGATATCCAAGATAAGTTTAAGATCAAAAAGTAAAACAGGTCACAATGGCATTATGTAATAAAGAATCTGTGAAAATATCACTTTTTTCAGTGGAATGGGACGAATTGCGGATAAGAGATGGGTATGATGGCATTGTCCGTGTTTTGCTACATGGGAAACCCAAAAACATGAATTGGATATCTCAACTGTGCAGTTTTAACGACGTTTTGGAATCCAGTACACATAGATGTGGTAAATCTGTATCATACTCACTTTCATTGACTGGGATTTTTAAAAACATTTTGAAAACTAAAAAGGCGATTTTGAAGAAATTTATTCTTTGAAAGTTGACTATGAGTTAGGAATTCAATCCATATGTTCTGCTAAAGTATATTTGTGATGACTGGACCTTACAAACAAAGGCTACGTTGTAACTTATTCTACAAGTAGACTTTCTAATTCTTTTATCAGATCCAGTCTACTGAAAACGGGAGAATACCTCTATAGTTCGTATTTTGCACAGGCACCTGACGTTACTTATTTTTCTTTTAATTAAAAAATATACACATACCTTTATTATTAGGTATGTGTATATTTTTTAAGTAAAAGAAAAATAAATAACGTCAGGTGCCTGTGGTATTTTGCTATTAAAACCTTCAAACCATTCAGACGAAGTGTCAAGATCTCTCCTTTTTTATTTAATCCATCATCATCTTCGACAGAAATAATTTTCTGTCGCCAATTTAATTTCATTATTAAAGCTGAACACGACTAGCAAATAGGCATACGCCATATTCGAAATTACTATCTACGACATCAGCCCAAGGAATACTCTTCGCATTCGTATAACATCTGAATTTCTTTATAGTTATGGGTATCGGCGTGTTCGTGCTAGTTTTGTTTTACATTTTCTTGCAGTTCTGTGTTTGTATATTGCACTGACCTGTGCAACTACTTTAAGTTTCTTTGCTTTATTATTACTTATTACCACAGTTATTTTTTTGTCGCTCTCGAGCGCTGTATGGCATACGTCCGTCTATATACTGGTAACGACTGATTACACTGAATAGTGACTAAGTCAGCCGCTTTATATAAAGAACCTCAGATATAGCGAGAGCACGATCGAATATGGCGGACACATTCCTTTTACGAGTAGTGTTCAGCTGTAAGACCTGAATTTAGGTCCCTGCAAAATTAAATGCACCTCAAATGCACTGGACTTGGGTCTTGCAGATGTCAGCCATCCATCAAATACATGTACATGCATTATGTTTTCTGACAAAAAACTGTGTCTTTGATTTGTCAGTCTTCTGTTTGATTGTACGCTCTTGTAACCTTGAACTTTTCATCTATTTTTTATGTCTTCAAGATTTCTATCTAAGTTTTCCGTTTAAGCTGACTGAGGTAATTGCAGGTATGAATAGTACAGATAATTAAAAAGTACCAGACACAAATCAGAAACTATTGTACCCCAAAACCCAAAGGTCAAAGAAGTGGAGTCTGTCGTTCGAGTCGATTTACTCCAGGTAAACATTGTCACCTGTTACTGCAACATGACCAGTGTAAGTCCAGTATAAATTCACATGAAGTGGTCAACACGTGCGACATTCCACGCTAAGGTGTCAGAATCCGTGTCGTCCAGTTACTGACCGCTGACCAAATCATCCCAGCTCCGATAACTCTGTTGAGTTACCCTTCAAGGAATGTCACCCTCTTATTTTCAAGATTGTTGCAAATTGCATGTTATTAAAAGGATATATTCTTTTATTCAAATATTATGACCATATGGGATAAAAACGTTTCTATGATGTTCTAAAAGGTGATATCAGTCACTTTAATGTGTTGTGTTGTTTATTTTTCTGTAAGATATCATTAAAGCAATATCTCAAAATTTTCTAAAGAATCGACCACTTTTCTCCTAGCGTTCCTAAATGTGTATATGAAAATATAATTTAATTTTAATTGAAGGGAGTAATGAATTCCAGGTGTGTTTACGATAGAGTAAATAAATATCAATGTATACCCGGGGTTGATAACAATGTTAAGAATGTGACACAGGTCTGCATCAGGAATTTGTAAGAGTTATTTAAATATGTCAGATATACAGCTAAGTACTGATACGACGAGTCAAAATTGTTTTACGTGATTATTAAATACACTGAAATCGGAAGTAAAGCACCGAAACTTATTATGTACATGGCCTGTGTTTGTTCCTCAAATGTTTTGAAAAAATTAAGGCAACTGTAATTTAAAATATTTCTTAAAATGGGTTAAAATAATTTTTTTGTTTCCGTTAGCCATTGTATTGCAGCAAAAATACCTGTAAAGTCTAACTGAAATCAGTAGTAATATGATAAAATTTTTAAAGTGAATGTTTATGAAATTTTTGTAAAATCAAAAGTTATTTTGTAAAGGTACATTAAACTACAATTCAAGGAAAGCTTTTCATTCTCAAGGATATAATGTGAAATTGAAAGCAATAACCCCCCCCCTCAACAAGTTATGGGAAAAGTAAAACCCCAACTGACAAAAAAAAAAAAGACCAGATGTGTTTGTTAAAAACTGAAATCATAAGTTCGAAAAGCACTATTTTTACATGTAGGTCAGATCATAGGTCACAAGGTCATTGAACTTGATTTTTAAAGAACTTTTCTGGTTTCTGACTAGATGAAACATTCAAAGTATATTTGCTTATATGTCTTATATATCTGAGGTGTAAGGGATTTAAAAGACATTATGTTTTATTTCCTCATCAGAATTGTACAACTTTAAATAGAAATGGTAAACTGCGTTTGAAAACTAGCAGGGACTATATTTTTGGCGGAATAATGGCGTATGAAAATATCTTCTTTTCTGCGTCTCAAAATTTTAATAGAACAATGAATTTAGTTATAATTTTTACACAATGAAAGATTTGAAGAATTTTTAAATGTAAGTTAATTTAATAATAAGGGACTAAACTTTCAAAATATATCAAATGAATATGATTTATCAAACAAACTAGAACTATGTAAGCTTTTAAATGCTTCCTATCAAAGTGCAGATTTGAGCCAAAAATCCATAAAAAGTATTTTTTTCTCTCTCAGTAAACGATCAAAACTTTTTGTTTTTGTATCATTTCGTACATTTATAAGACAACTTTATTATATGTGAAAATCATATCATAAATTATTTATGTAAATTTGGTAATATCGTGCTATAGACCCGATATAGTAATATCTTTTTATGCAAAAGGAACAATCTTTAAACTTTTGAAATAGAGGTAGGCTTCACATGATTGGCAACAGTATTTTTTTATTCATAATGTCAAGGAAAAAGATAATGACCTTGACCTGACCTTGCCTTTAATATAAAACGGTCAAATTTAATCTCACTGATAATATCACTTACTGATATTGTCTTCTTGATTCTGTGAAAATTTCATTTATTTTTAAATACAAGAAATATGAGAAAAATCCTACCTTAATTCACAAATCTTGTGATGTTTTGAATTTTTCCTGAATAGGGATAAAATATTTATTTTAGATACATATTTTGTTCTAGATTTTTTTTCTGGTTTGACAGAATAAATGTATTTGAGTGAATCTATGTTAATAATTCGTTGCAAAATTGGTTAAAAAACATAAATTAAACGAAATACATGCATGTATTAATATGTGAAATTTTAATTACCAATAAATTATCCTGGTCGTTTCTTTGAATCATTTAGACAAGAAAAGGTAATACATGTATACCCAGTACACATGCACTATAATTCCCCAACAATGTAACAAAAATACTACAATCAATACATTATCAAATGTAACCTTTATACTCTGGCTGGAAAAGCCTTTGTCAAGGTCCTTCTTTTCTACAGGCAGATATATATGGCACGCCAAATTCACAAAAATGAGCTAAACATAATTTCACAGTTGATAAACTAAGTTTATCGACTGTAAACTATAGTTTACAAACCGTGAACTATAGTTAACAATTCATTAACTATAGTTTTCATCTGTAAAACTATATTTAACGGTCGTTAACTATAGTTTTCGAATGCTAATCTAAGTTTATCTGTCTGTAATAAAGCGTTAACAATAGATTTTGTTGATAAACACAGATTCACGTTTGTAAACTATAATTTACAATCGTAAACTATAGTTAAGAGTTGTTAATCATTGTTTCACAAATCGTGAAACTATAATTATCAGATCGTTAACTATAGTTAACGGTTTGTAAACTATAGTTTACAAATTGTGAAACTGTATTTATCAGATAATCTATGTTTTGCAATCGCAAATGATTGTTTTCGGTGTTAAGTATAGTTTACGGTTGTGAAACATAGATTATCGCGTTAACTATGGTTTACAGATGTAAAATATAGATTAACTTTGTTAACTATAGTTTACAGTCCGTAAACTATAGTTTACAACCGATAAACCTAGTTTATCGACTGTGAAACTATGTTTAGCTCATTTTTGTGAATTTGGCGTGCCATAGATATATCAATTTGAGCTGCATTTTTGATAATTTTGATTTGTTATTATGATAAATTTGTATGTAAATTAAACCTTTATGATCAATTAAAGTAAAATAAGGCAGTCTAAAGACTTCTATATTCAATAAAATGTATACAGTTTTATATAAAAAAATATTATTGTACAGGACGACAATAATGTAATTTTGATTCAAACAAAGCTATAAAAGAACTTCCATAGCAATAAGAACAACAGAAGTTTGTTAACGTTTTTTTCCCCTGTCATTAAAATACTTATTTACAATTTTGTAACAAAATTTCCGACATCAAAGAAAAAAAAAAAAACAATTTATTTCACATGGATACAAGCAAATTACTATAAATAGTAGTCAACTTGGTAGTGGATCTCATTAAATTAGTAAATACTGAAAGGTAATCATTAAAAATAATTAAAAAAAATAATATAAATTAAATTACTGCAAATCTTAATTTACAAAGGTAACACTTGTCCCTTCATAACAACCGGTCCTCCGTCGTGGAGTAAGACTGCAGGCCAAATACAAATATCAGCTTTTTCTCCAGAGTGTCCCATACACCGGAAGTAAGTTTTATCAACTTTATCGTTCTTAGTTACAAAGAGGAGCTGCATCGGAGGAGTCTGCGCACACATCAACCAACACAACTCAACTGTAAGGTCCACATAAGGCTCTATCTTCTCCATAATACCAGGATAAGTCCTTAAAAATTGTCTATGTTTACAATAATCTTTATAAATCTGAAAAGAAAAATCATTAAGTATCTTTATTTTATTTATAAATCAATCATAAACATTACTAGAGTATTATTCTCAACAGTTTTTGAGACATTAAGTGATAATGTGTACATCTAGTAAAGTACTTTAAGACGGACTGTCACTTTAGAAAATATCAAGAGCGTGAAATTTCACATGTCCTTGGTTTATACGGATTCGTCCGATGAACCTGAACTCTATGTGCAGGATCGTTCGGCAGGTTACATGTAGTGTGTTATTCTTAATCGAATACACTTGTATAAATAAATTGTCCACGAATGTGAACTGTGTAAAATTCAGCTTTATTGTTTTTCATTTTCATCGCTCAGATGCTTGCAAAGGTAAACATGCACTATTCATAAATGCACTGCATTATGCGACAGCTACTCCAAAATTACCTTTATCAAACCTTGCACTGAATACACGGCATTTCCTTTCTGAAACTCGGTAGCGTATTTTTCACACATCCAACTCAACATTTCATCCGTTTTTCCAATCCCAGAGAATGACTAACAATATATTGAATAATAAAAATGATTAAATATTATTTTGTAATTTTAAGTATTATGTTAAACTGCTAGAATTTTCTTCTTTTTGCTATTTTACATGATGCTGTCTGGTAAAATATACAATGTAATATAATTTTATTGAAAATAAAAAGGAAAAAAATAATCCTATTTCATCCTACCTTTTCCTCGTACAGAAACCGGGGCTCCCTTGTTCTTTTTTCCAGATCATGTCTGATGTCTGCTATCTGTTGTTTTAACGCCTTTTCACAATATTGGAATATATCCTAAAACAAATATTGTGAAATTTAAAATCAAGTATATTTCAGGATTTAAAAAAAGCTATACGTACATTATACAATTATTGACTTTTGATGAGGTCTACTCGTATAGTCACGAGTAGACCGAATTCAAAAGTCAATAACCGTTTTATTAAATGATCAGGAATTTTGCAACACTTTTGACACTTTCGTTCTTTTCTCCATCAAATATAAACACTCATAATAAAATGCAAAGTGTAACAACACTTTTCACATGTTGTTATACTTCAACAGCTTAACAACTATAGTAGTTAAAAATGGAAAACAATATTATAATAATATAGTATAGTATACACTTGAACATGTATCCTGGTATTTGGAAAAAGTTTTTTTTTTTCAAATCTACATTTGAGCAGTTTTTTTTTAATTTCCAAGATTTTATGGGACCTTAAATAGTTTTTAGGTGCATGCAATGAAAACTGTGCAGAGAAAATCAAGCGTTATTTCGAGATATTATTTATAAATAAATTAAGATTATGATATTCTACTATTCCCGACTAAAGAGCGGGGATCCTTTATCACATTAAACTTAAGTTTGGCTATTTAACGCACCTTGACAATATCAGCAAGAATAGAGTATATATCATTTTCTGTCGGTATTGAAATTTTTAGAGTTTCGTAGGCTTCTGACCATTCATTGTCGTAAAGCTGTCCAAAGCGTTCTCCTAATTTTGTAGGACGATTTTTATCACTCAGATCAGCTATGCTTGGATTGTTGTACATCAAACTATTGCTCGCCGCTTGACTCAATCTGAAATTTAACTTACATCGTAGGATGTGCAAAAACTACTCTACCATTTACAAGTTTCACTTGATGTTTTATAATCTGTAAAACTTTGCCTACCTTGTTGTTAAGTCTTCAATTTCTGTGTTTTTTATATTGAGCTGCTCTTTCAGCTTGTCGACTTCTTGTTGTAACATAAATATACGTTCGTCATCGATTTGCGATCTATTCAATTCCCTTTGCCCTTGACCTACATCAGCAGCCCTACTAACAAACTCTTTTTCTCTAATATTTTTAAGATCCCGATGCTCGGTCTGAATATTTTTCGTATCCTTTATTTCCTGTGGCATTTGCACCATCTGTAAACAGTTATCAACAAAAAGGTATTAATATACATGTATTTTTAATTATCAAAATTAAGATCATACCCCAGAATAAATATTTATTGTCTTTTTGTCATAATACCTGGGGCATATTGTCCTTGCTGTCGTAGAGAACTTCTGAGTGCAGCATGGATCCATAATCCAACAAAGCAAACTCGCTTCCTTTAGCACCTTCTTTCTGTGCGCGATTTAAGACAATGTGAAGAGGTCTACTAGGAATTTCCACATTAGTATATCGCAAAGGTCCATCAGCTACATGGATTTTCCAGTTGTGTTTTCTTACTCTCTGTGGGATAAATATATAAAAATAATATATATTCTTTAATGAAAGATAAAAATACTGTTATTTTCTAATCTATCTAAGAAAATGAAATTTTAATGCTGCACTTGCAAACAACCATTTTTTAAACCTCAAGTTTTACCGAGTTTTCATTTTTTATTGAATTTTATTTACAGTACTTTCTCGTAATAACAATAAAACTGTACCAAACTGTCATCCCGTGCTATCATTTTTTCTATGTCTTGTAACTTCTGATATTCCTCCCTTGCTTCTTTATACACCTCAGGGTTAACAATATTTTTCATTTTTTTCAATATATCACCGATGCCAATTCTTTCTGATGGACAGCTAACAGATCGAGATGTACTTGTTCTAGCTACGTGCTCACTCATGGCCTAAAAAGAAAGAAATATAGCAATATATATAGCAATATATCAATACTCTTTATTTAGACATTTCTCTCATTTTTTTATTTGATATTTCATTTCATTTTAGTCTTATCATCATCCTTTTGATTTTTCAAATGGAAGTTAAAACGCTATTTACTGCTCTTAAATTCATATTCAGAATTTTAAAAAAAGATGTCAATGTTATCATAGCTTACCTCAGAAATGTAATAGATCTATAAGAAAGTTAAAATCTCACCCCAAACGAATGTTCTGACAGCCTAACTTTGCGTTCCTTGATACAATGCTTATATGTTTGATATGAATGGAAATATATGTACCTATAGGTAAATATGGATTGCCCTTACAATGCAATGAAGATTTACTGATATACTGTATATATCTTAAGCTAAATACAGCTCAACGCACTTTTTAAACTCACATGGTTTTTTCGCACAAATTAAGGTCACATTGTTATAATGCAAAATTGTGTAACGTGAAAACAAAATACATTTTAAAAGTGATTTTTTTACTTAATTTTGATCTTATTCCATTACTTTAAACATAATTCACACCTAATGATTGGTTGGATTTTTATATGCTCTTGGATTGTAGATCATGACAGTTCCCAGTTGGTTTTTTCATGATTTCTCGTCAAATGCAACCGTCTTTGTATCCGTTCAGTTTTAAAGCATACCTTTGCCATGGCTTAATAGAGAAGCATTGCAGTTTATGTAACTTCTATATTTTTGTACATTAATATGGCACTAAGGCGCAAGATGATAGAAGTATTTCTCATCTCTTCGACTGTTTTTTTTTCATGTTAAAAGGATGGATTTGTTTTAGGTAAACTTTCTGAAATCTAGCATCATGAAAGATACCTTCCAACACAAAATTTCAAAGTTTCAGGCCATAAATATAAAAGAATTTTCTTTTCAATAGTAAAATTTACTGTGTGGAAATTAAAAAATACTTTATTATCCTATACTTTGATATGATTTCTTTATGCAGTTTTGTAATTTTTCGGCGCTGAATTTCGACAAAACCAAGACAAGAATGGGAAATGTGCAAAGTACTTAGAAAAACACTCATCTGTAAGAAGTCAATTTGAACATTTCAACTACATATAGTATCAAGGAAAGCTCGATTAATTAATTTGTAAATACCTATGGTAGAATCATACTCATGTAACATCATACAGTTTATAAACAAATTCCCTTTTAAAACATCTAGGTTTAAAACTTAATATAATGATTTAAGAAAATGTACACCTTTAAAATGAAATATTTAATAATATAATGTCAATGTGTCGTACTGAAGCTCGATAATTTTACGTTTTATTGCAAGACAAATGTGACCTTAATTTGTGCGAAAAAAACCATGTGAGCTTAAAAAGTGCGTTAAGCTGTATAGGCATTCCCACACCATGTTCACCAATCCACCTAAATCAGGCCCTGGGAACATGAAAGTTTTTAGTCTTAAAGTTTAACATAATTTGTAAAAAGACGAGAATGAGAGTTATCAATGTCCGCCATTCTAGTCTTCTCAATGTTGTCATTTCCTAGTCACTTCATAAGCCTCAGCTTTATTCAGGGTTCAATGTATTTCGCTTCACGGAGTATCTACCTATAAAACGTCTCTTTCATTGTATTTGAAAGACTTGGACGAAACAAAATGACTTCCACTTGCCTCTACGCATTAAAAAATAAATTCCAAAGAGATTCAAAGTCAATAGCACTGATAAATGCATTACAAAGTGAAACAAAATAACTACACATTAAAAAGACATCAAACGTAAAAAAAAAAACCTATGCAAGACAAAAATTTGCTACATGCAGCAGTTATAAGAAAAAAGCAATTTTTTATAACAATTGTGAAGGGTTTATTTATCCCAGTGCAGATATAGGAAATAGGGAAACTAATAATATAATGGCGTATACCTATTACCACGTCTTGTTCATCTTACACTTAAGAACTATATTTTGTACCGGAAATTTGTAAAAGTCAAACAGTCCAAAATGAATATAGCAGTTCATATATACTGCTCTACCAAAGTGCTGTTATTTGCAGATACTAGTACACATGTATAGATATCCCATTCATCTTTAATACACATTTTACATGGGATTCAAATTCTACTCAGGATCACATGTAAGTCTGCTTCATTACCCTTAGCCTGAATCATTGAGATGAGCAAGATATTAGTGTATTGCGGTAACTGTCATATTAGAAAAAACAGCAAAGGATAAGTACTACATCCGTATTAAGGCCATCTTTAAAAAATCGTTTAGTTGCCCTCTTCCGACCGATTGGCAAAATAGGCTAACTGAAAACCTTTTTAACCACTTAATATATTCAGACAAAGTCGAGAATGGGCAAACAAACATTGTTTTTGGGTTGGCTTAAAATTGCGTATTTTACCTTTGGACATTCCATTTCCTGAAACAGAGTTTCTGAGTGAAGAAGAGACGCGTATTCTAATAGAGCTAGTTCGCTCTCCATCGTATTGTCGTCCTTTGCGTGTTGAAGAAGTTTATGAAGCGGTCTTTCTGGCTGTGGAATAGATCGCAACAATTCTGCAGGTCCATCTGAACCCTTCATGTGCCACTCATTTTTACGTTTATCCTGCAAGTTTTCATATCATTTAAGTACTAGTAAAGCACATGTAGTTCGTTGGAAGCCTATTTTATATGAGATTCGTTAAATTATATACAGTATTTATAAGAATTGTAGTTACTATTAGATAAAAATATATCTTTTTTTAATTACAAAAAAGTATTACCAAATCCTTTCGATCTTTGCACTCCTTGTCTATTCTTTTTAGTCTTTTAAATTCTTCTTCGGCTTTTGTCACAAGATCTGTTTGATACTTCTTTGAACATCGTTTTAACACAGTCTCTATACAGTTTGTTGAGAGACGTTTTGTTGACGATACTGATGAACTAGCAGTCGTTGTACGTGAACTTTTTGTTTCATCACTTGTCGTCGGCTTAGGAAGATCCTAATATAAAGGATATACACATATACATATTTCGAAAAGAAAATTCGTATTTCTTATTTGTTAAAATAGCTCTTTTATAACAGACGTAGCTACCAGTTAGAGATTTACTTCATTAAAAAACTGTTGAATAAAAACATTTAATACTGTTAAATAGGAACCGAGGAAAAAGTTTTCACAACACAAACATTTTCGTTCAATGGGTTTTTTTTAACTTTAATTTTTACGGATAGTTATCTGCATATTTTCCCATAAGAACAATGAAAGAGTGAGGACATTCTTCGTCGTAGAAGCCAGAATGATGCATTGATAAAATTTAACATTTTATATCTTCAACCTAATTTTACCCTTACATGTAAATGTAACCTACCGGTATTCTTTATCTAAGGGTATGCCTGAATTGTCATTAGCACTTCCATTTTGACGCAATTCTTTGTTTTTCAAGATGTAAATTGCCAAACTTTTGTGAATGTTCTTATATGTAATATAATAGATCGTTGTGAGAAAAATGTTTGTGAAAAGAAAAAAAAATCATTATGAAACGATAAAATGTCGTTATATTACCTCTTTTAAACGATGATATGTTTGCATTATGAAGAAAAATTCCTTGATTGCGTCATCTGCAATATCACGTCTGTTTCCCCAAGCATCACTAATGATATGATAGAGATCCGGTGCTTTCTTAATATATGCTGGCAGTATATGTTGAGGTTCAATTTTTGTTTTCTTATTCTTTTCTTGAATTGCCTGAAGCTATATGGAAGGAGATTGAAAACAACTATTCCACACGTTTATTTCGTTCTAGAGTATTTGACAACATTAACACTCATGGTACTTATATATACTTTTACCTCCGAAGCAAAGGAGCTAAGCGGATTGCTCATTATAGAACTGTACTGTTTTCGAGCCTCTTTGATCTGCTTCTTGTCATATCCCATCGATTCACATTTCTCTAGGATTGCAATAATGGCAGTTTTACTTTCTCTCGAGTCCATAACCTCCTCTACTCTAACTCTCTGTTCAGATTAAAAAAATTATGTTCGTGACAAATTTGAAATGACTTCCATATCAAAACAATCTTCTTTCTTATGAAAGATTTCTTTGACATGCAGCTAGAGTCACTGCATATTAAAATTAAGGTAAAAAAGATGAATTTCACATACAGTGCTAGAGATTCCTTGATGTCGTTTATAAATTTCAATAAGGAAAAGGTAATTAGGCCAAACATCCGTAAGATCTACCCTGTCTCCTACTTTATATAGGGTGTCAAACAATGCCCCACCAAGCCTCTTATCATCATCTGTCAAATAACGGAATCTAGTGTCTCTAGTTTGAGTCTTCAACTGAAAAGTTAAAATACCCATACACAAGTAAAAACCCAAATATGTAGATTACATGAACAAAAACTTCATCGATATAGACAATGCATCCTTTAAAGTGGATCGTGCACAGTTTTATACATATGTACAGACACAATTATCTTTCAGTTAACATTGTTCTTACTTGTTCTTTAACAGATATTCCTAAGCTTTTAGCTAAATCAGAGAGGAAGGAGAAGTGGTTCCTGGCTTCTTTCAGAGTAGTGGCACTTACACATCCACTGCAGAATTCCAGTGCTCTACTGATAGTTTTGGCCTGAAATTAAACCAATACTATTCAAAAGACTAAAACACAAAGGCATGACTCAAAATGATGTTAATGAATAACGATTCAACCCTGAGCTTTAAATATAATTTTTTCAAGTGAAAATTGAAGGTTTCAAAGTGAAAGTGGAGTGAATATATACCTCAGTACATAAAATTGCAAAACTGAAGCAGGAAGTGTTTGATATCATCAATAAATCTCGTTTGATAAGATTATATTCTTATTTCCATCCTGTAACTCAGTCAAGATCGAGATTAAAATATCGTGAACCAAAAAAATATTTTAACTCAGGCAAACTCTACTAACCTTCGCCTTTGTTCTTTTGCCTTCACTTGCAGACATATTTAGACATGTCAAGTTGATTCACAATTATAAAAAAAGAATACATGTACGTCTTATAAAACCATTTTATCGGAAGAGCAAATCAGGGACCATATAAAGTTGAAATTTAAACAGTGTTGACCTACTCTACATTTAAATGTACAGTGTATCTATAAATAATCTGAAATAAGTGTGATGTTTTTAAAGAAAAAAGGAAATCTAATTACAAATTAAATTAAGACGATTTTTCTTAAAAATCGCAGAATATCTTTTGTAGTAAACACATAAATACGCAAGTTTTTACACATTCATCGTAGCACATACAAGAACGTACATGTTTGAAAGAGGGGTTATTTAAATAGGTACCTGTATAGCATTACATTGCGTAAATAAGCTTTTTATACCAGAATATTACACTCTAAAAGCATGGTTTTTAAAAAGACGTTTTACCTTCTTTTTTTTCAATTCTAGATAATTATATTGATGACTCTTAGGTTTTAAGTAAGATATGACGAACAAATTTATTGAAGGAAAATTGAATAAAAATTTAAAATATGTTTGATCAAACCGAAAGTCGAAAGGTAAATAGAATAATATCAGTGTTTCATTTGCATAAATGCATCAAATTTAGAATAATATTGCCGATTGTTTGACAAGCAATACTTACTTTTAATTGTGTTAAATGATCTTTTTTATTTTTTCTCTCACTTTTGCATCTGAAACAAAGGAATTTTCCAAATGTTGTTTGACATCAGATTTGTCGTTCCTAAGTATTTTAAATAACGATAACTCTTACCCTGATTATTGATAAAAAAAAAGAGAGAAGATGAATGTAACAATGTGTAATGCAGTCCATTTCTCTAGAGACATTGGTATATGTAAATAAAAAAAAACACCAAATTTACTAGTATTTTTGTATGTTTTAAGTGTTAAATTTGAAAAGAGGAAATATAATATGATTCGCATGAGATGGAAGAAAGGAGCGGGGAGGAAAAATATGAAAATTACATTTGAGGAGACCGGAGTACCTATATCAAATACACGTCTATTTTCTTAGTTCCACACAATTTCTCGCGAGGGACTTTGAACAACAAATAAATTTATTTCGCTCTCTTTATAAAAGCAAAATGTTATTAAACATACAAATCTCTAAGTTTTAAAAGAACAATTATCACATAATTGATCATTCTTAACCCCGCTTTAAATGGATTCTCTTTATCAATCTTTATTGGACATCTGTACTACATGTAATTCCATAAAGTACTGATAAAAATGTTTTCGCGAGAAATTTATTACTGCGTATAATATTACGCAAGTCTGCCTGCTCAAAAATTCGCTTATATTGGTATGTTTGAGGATTATATACATCAAAAAGACGTAACCGTAATGCACTATTGGAAAACTGAATGTTACATGTAAAGGAAATTGTCAAAAAAAAAATAAAGATAATAATATCATTTAATCGATTTAAGTTACGTTGCTCTATCAGTAAACAATATACACAATATTACACAAAAGTATATAATGTATATATAATTTTTCGAATAATTCAATCTTTTTGGTATATTTCAATAGAAGAATTCACAGTTGACTTATTTCTTTTACTTTTGGGGTAAAACATGGCCTTTGCACACAACACTTCCATTTTCATTTATTTGAAGTGCAGGCCACACACATATGTCAACTGTGTCTCCAGAAGTCTTGTACACCTTAAACAATTTTGTATCTATGGTTTCTCCTTTTTCTGGAATAATCAGAACCATTGGTGGGTCCTGCACACACATAAACCAACATATTTCTACGCAAGCTTTCAGATATGCTTCAATGTCTTTCGAAATGGCATTGTCGGTTGTTTCTAAAAATGTATAGGATTCCTTAAACATCTGCAAAACAGAAATGGAGAGGTAACAGTCTTGTTACAGTGTATGCTATAAGTTATCTTCCATCGCCTCTAGTTATTAGTATAAAATCGATTTAATTTACCTGGTAAATACTAGGAAGAGACATTGAACAACACTGCTTCCTTAGTTCTAACAAGTGATAAACAGCATCTTTCTTCATTTCAATGACATCTCTGTGTTCGCTGGTCTCCTTCAAAACGAACATATCATTATAATGGTACAATATGTTGTAATTCTTAAAAACGACTTTAATCTTTTTACTCTAAGATGTTTTGTTGAATTATTGAAAGTACATACATCTCTCTGGTCTTGGCAATATGACATAATCTTTGTTGTCCTTGTTTGTAAGTCTTCAAGCTGTTTTACGCTTTTCTCTTTACAAAAGCGGTATGCCATCTAGCAAAAGAAAAGTTATCTTAATAAAACAATATCCTAAAATATATGCTACAAGAATGCAAAAAACAAACACGCAAAAACACATAAGAACTGAGACAGACTTAGGATACCCACTTGAACACAGTTACACAGTTTTGTTATTCTTTCCTTTTCATCTTCTAGCTCCGACTGTAAACTTTCAAATAACTGGGTCCATTCGTTGTCATATAACTCAGAAAATCTTTCCCCAATTTTAGTGGGGCGATTGGAATCACTGAGGTCAGTATGATTGGGATTACCTGTTGCCACTCTCTGACTGGCAACTTGGCTTAGCCTAAATGGACATTCAGGGATTTATACTATGCATGATTGTTTTCAGTTTATATGTATAAAGTCTTTTTCTATATTCTGAACCTACATATATTGACTATTAATGCATGATCTTAAAACTACATATAATAAATATTTGGAGATAACCTTGTTTTAAGCTCTTCGATTTCATTTGATTTTAATTCATTTTGCATTCTCAGCTCTTCACACTTCTCACGTAACTCATCCATTTCATTTTCATATCGTCGTGCCTGTAGCGGAAAAAATAACGTGATTTTATTGAACCATGCACACTCGCACTGACTTCAAAACAAAGCAAATAAATCTCTTAATAAATAGAGAATAGAAACAATGTCAATAAGATGCTTACCTTTTGTTCTTCACTCCGCCTTAGAAGCTCCGATGAATGGAGAAGAGACCCATACTGGCACCAGGTAGCTTGACTTCCCTCTAAGTTCCTCTGCACTGCTTCCTTTATTGTTACATACAGAGCCCTATCCATGTATTCAATATTATCTAGAAATTTCTGAGCAGCAACATCACCATTTAAAATCCAAAGCTCTTTCTCTCTTGCCTAAAACACATTGAAACAACAATTTCTTTTCATTTTTCTTTTGTTTATCCGATTCAAATGTCTAAATTGACAATTAAGTTCTTAATAAATGTTAACAGTAACATTCATGTCTAAAGTCATATGGTATTATGCAGTTGTAAATTGCTCTAAGAGTGGCACACAGCAGAAAAAAACTATTGTATCGTCCTCAATGTTTAAGAATTATCATAATTTTATCATGAACAGACTCACCAAATCCGGATCACATCTCATTTGTTCTTGTTTCTGAAGGAGATCTAAGTATTCGGCTTCTGCCGCTTTCCATGTTTCTGAATCCATACAAGATTTCATATTTTGCAAAACATGGGGAATAAAATTGTCTGCTTGTTTAATATGAGGACCCTTGAGGAAAAAAAATAAAGAAATGAAGTTATCAATCTTTTTTTCTTAACAGCAATTTCTCGTATTGGAGATTGAAAAAAAATAAATTAACAGAAATATGTTTTGATTTCCTTTTGCCATACCGATGTTTTTGAAGATTTGTTTTGTTTATTATACACTTCCACTAGAAAAACATATGTCGGCCAAACTTTGGTCAAATCGAACATGGTCCCTGCACTACACAGGAAGTCATATAAAGGAAGACATGCTTGCTTTTGATCATCACTGAGGCATGCTGGGTAATTTTCGCCATTTTCTTCGTAAAAGGATTTGAGATACTCATGCTGTCATGAAAATATTTTTTAAAAAGAATTTAAATGCATATACCATTATATGAAATTTACATACACTTTAATACTATTTTTTTTTAAATAAATGATAAAAAACAGTGCAATAATATCATATTTTCATACCATATATTATAATATTATAATATCATATAATTTTTTTAATTACCGTTTCAAAATCTCTCTTTGCCAGGTAATTCGCATGATCACAAAGTATTTTGTACTTTTTATACGCTTTGTTATGGTGCTCTGCGTCGATATGTTTCCCAAATCTCTTGAAAACCTCAGCAATTGTCTGTACAGACCACTTTCAACAAGAAATAAAAAAAAAAATCGAGTCGATTTTTTCAATACTAGCATACCAAATAATATTGAGAAAATTATTATATAATAAAGGATTATAAAATTTAATGTTGTACCCATGATCAAAAATCTCGAGTCGATTATTCGTTACTGTTTCTTGATACCACACATTAAGGACTCACTTGATTATAATTATTTGATAAATGTTTTAGGAATTAATCTTTTATGCAAACTAAGTATTATATGATTTAAATGGATGCATATTCATAATAGGTATTATGTAATTTTAAAAAAATCCCACCCATTAACACTTTGGAAAACAAACAGCTATATATTTCGTAAGTACAAGTATATATACTTACCTGTTCTCTACCCGCCATGTTAAATTATTATCGTACTTTCATATTATATTGTATCGCGTTATCTCTAGAGATAACATTAAGGATAAAGTAAAGTACACAAGTTGATATCACAGTGGCGTTTAAATTGTTACTGAACAGACATTTTGATTATAATGAGTTCAAAATAGATTTATCAATTGGTTTACAGTAAAGTGTAACTTCATTTTGTACAGAATAAACCTCACTGAGTTATATGCCACTTAAAGGAGAAGTTCTAAAACAAAATTAAAATCACATTTAAGAGTCAAAATCAGCAAGCATCGGGCATTGAATGGAAAGTCAAAATTTTATTTTTTCAAAAGCTTTTGTTATATAAAAGATTTTGTCCTACCTAATGCTAAAACACAATTAAAATTTTTTTTTGAACGAATGAAGGGACTGGTATCCAAGGAAATTCATTTCCTTAGCAACGGGCTCATAAATCCTTATGAAAATCAATGATTTTTAGACATTTTTCTATGAATATGTTTTCTGAACGTGATAAGATAAGGTATTTTGGTTACTTTATCTGTTGAAAGATGGAATTACTTTATTCTTAAAATATAGGAAAAACAAAATTTCTATAGTGATATTGTTGCCATGACAACTGGAAAAGAACATGGCGTCAATGCTTATTAATTTTGAAAAAAATTACATATGTTTATCACTATATACACAAAATCTACAACCACAGCTGGAAAAATGAATGCTGTGATCTTGTTAGGGGTTATCTATATGTCATATGTATACAATAAAATTTGCAGGCAACATTAGTAGAAAAAAGTTACAAATGGTTAAAATGTGTGACAATCTGGCATTTATAAGCTTTTTGAAGGGGTGGGGGTAAATTGAATACATGTACAGTGTCCATTATATTGGTCATATTGGTCTGATCAAAGCATACTCATAATTTTACTATTGTTGATAAATAAATGCACATTAAATTTCAAAAGGAATTTATATTCCTCACGAACGAAACTTTGAAATAAAAGAGGGGGGATTATAGGAATCACCTTGTCACATATCCATATGTATGTAAAATTTTGACTTGTCCATTACATTTCAATGAAGCGCCACTGAAAGTTCATACTTGATATTAAGATTGCTTATGATCTGGAGATGTGTCCAAATCTTTACCCAAGGTCATTTGAATAAGTTCAAGGTCATTGGAAGAAGAATAGTGCGATCTTTGCCCATTCTGTAGTATTCTAATGAAAAGACTTGAAGTTTCATCTCGGGGATTATTATTCGAGCTGTGGGTTTGTCATGACCTTGACCAACAATTCATTTGGACACGTTTGACCTTGACTCGACGACATAGCTTTTTCAAGGTCACTGCAGTTAAAGTGTTCTATATGAGTTTGGTATATTTACATATTTAACTTCGAATGAAGAGAAATTAGAAGTTTGTGTTCTACACAAAGGTTTTTCTACCTATGACTTGAGTATATGTCATAGTCATTTGGGTATGTAAATCTGCAGTAGCAAAATGTTAAAAAGGTTTTAAATTAATATTCGGACCTTTTTTGTAATAAAATAAACATTTTATGTCATACCAGGAGGGTTGATATCATTTTATGCTTGCTCATAATAATTCTAGTTTATGAGAGAGAGTCACTACGACAGCTCACATAATTTTAAAGTAAAACCATATCAATCAGGCATGTAGCATCAGGTTTGGGTTGGGTAGGGGGGGGGGGGGGTTGACATCCTCAACTCAAATTTTTTTCTCAACATAACCTGATGTTTAACCCCCCTGCGAGTTTGGAGAATTTCCCCACTTTTTTTCTTGCAGTTTTTTTATGCCTACCCCACACCATGCACTTTCAAAAACGATACCATGTCTGTCAGAACGAATGACTGCAACCTTTGGTATTGAACCTACGATATACCGGGTATTCTCCTGCTGTCCTAATTAAGAAACAAGACAGCTAAGACCTCAGTAGCTACTGGTACCTAAAATAAAAATCTGGAAGGGCTATACAGGGCGACGGGGCGCGGGAAATATGGGATCCGCGTTGCCTGTACTGTATATATATGAATTTCTAAACTTGAACTTACCCTAAAAGTTATTTCATATTAATAACCCTAATGGGTAATCTTTTGAATGGCATGTATCGAAATTTTTGTTGTATTTATATTTAAAAACATTTTGAAAACAATGTAGAAATCAGAAGAGAATGACAAATATGAATTTTTTTTTTATAAAATACAAACATACATTTCAGGAACCTATCATCTGACTTTAAACTAGCCCTCTTCCTTTTTTCTCATAAAAACATTTTGTCAGTTTTGAAATTAATTGATTGATCATTTAATATTGACCTTGTTTTAATTATGATACTTCAAAATGCAGAATATAAAGATATGTTTCAGATTCTTCTACTATCTAATTATGAATCTGCATGCCAAAAATTGATAGTTATTAGATGTACATCAACAAAAAATGCTAACAGAAAAACCAAGAATGTTACTTTTCGATTAAACATTTTTATTTGATCCACTTTCACGAATACACTGTACAATTTATGGATCTATTTTCTGGATCCCTGAGTCTCCAGTAACACTACCCACTCACTTCCAGCATCAATGGTCTGTACTGTAATAATGTATTCTCATAATCTGAAAAAGTGATTAAATTAAAATGTAATAATATTATACAGCTTTGCCTTCGTATACTTAGAACCATTTCTAGTTGGGCTTGAGCAATGATGATGAATGCAAGGCATGTTTATGGGAATCATGCAATTAAATTCCGTTTTTAATAAATGTATTATTTTCATGTTTTTCCTGTCTAATTCTATATCAGCTCATCCAATTCTGTTTCTGTTTCTTTCCGAGTTTGGCTTCAAAGTGCCGAATTTCATTCATAAACAGAAGTATACAACACAAAGTTGAGACTGTATTGATCTTAGATATTCTTTAAATTTAAAAACTTGCAATTAAAAGGTCAACTGGTTCTATACGTTTTGTAAAAACTCTAAATTATGTTTTTTTATTTCTTTCCAATACACCCCCCCCCCCAAAAAAAAAAAAAAAGATGGAGTATAGATATTCATTTCATAAATTTACGTGCTTTATATCTATTGATGCTTATCATTTGAACCTAGTTGACTCAAATTAGTTCAGCGTTACCGGAGAAAATATTAGCTGAATATGAACTTCCTTTTATTAGTAAACACTGGATGACATTAGCAAAAAGTTTTTTTTTAAATTAATTATTTTACTGGTATATATACAATTCAATTACCACTAGTCCACTACATAATACACTTGTCTGTATCACAATACTTCCAAGGCAATCCCCTTTCCTAAACTAAAATATATTAAGAACAGAGTTAACCCCCTGCCCCTTTTTCATTTTTTACGGACGCCATAAAAAAGGTCGTTCCATTTTACAAATATTTCATATAGTGGTGTTTTTCATAAATTCATAATTTTTCATGTAAAAAGCAGGTTTTTAAATGGTAAATAAAGATATCTACTATACAAAAATTTTATTTACCCGACTATCAGTTATAATCATTTTAGCTTGTGACAGTGGTGAGTGACTTTTGGTTACATACATACCGTGAATACAACAAATTGAAATTAAACAAAATTCAAATTAAACTTTATGTGACTGATCATATGACCAAATTTTTCACGTTAGGCCCGTAGATAGTATCTAAGTTGGGGGATTTAATTTCATTTGCTCATTTTATAGTTTAATATCGGCTATAGTGGGGGGGGGGGGCATACCCCCCTCCTCCTGGTTCCTCGGGCCAGGCATAATCTTTTCTTTTTTTTTGTAAAATATTAAAGAAATGCTTACATAATTAATCAATCAGAATTAAATTTAAAATGTGCAAAAACACTTGCCAAGTGTTAGGTATTTTACTGCATTTTACTGCTATACATTCTTCAGTAACTGTTGTAATGGTAAATTGTAAAAATTTCAATCACTCACCATAATTAAGACTCATGAAAACGCCAAAACTGAGGCTTAGACTGCTCCAAGTTTGTAATTTTCTGCTAGTCTTCTGTAGATTGTTATTGAAAACAATGTAAGCAAACTACCGTTTATTCCTCCTATGTTAGAGAGCTATACCAAAGGGAGGTAATTTGAAGCAAAAGTTACAGAAAATTATTGATTTAAATCAGTTATCATATATAAATGCTTTAGTTGCCTGCAGATTTTTTTCTTGATTCTTCTAGAACAAATACTGTTTAATAAATATTTTATGTTGATATGCTTTAGTTTGGTTGTAGATTTCTTATAAAGTACTTCAAATTTGCTGTTTTTTAAAGCAAAATAAACCTCCAAAAACTAGTTATATTTATCAGAAGGTGAAGAGAATTTCAAAAATCAACAGCTGCTAAAATAGAGTATATTTATATAAATAAAATAATAATTTAAAAAGCTTTTTTTAATGACTAGTAATAAAAAAGTATTTGTTTAACCATAAATTCAAGTGTCATGATAAAGTACAAAACACGTGTACTGAAAGGCGCGTGGTTTCCATAGCAACAATGCGGAAAATTATTTTTTGCTTGCTTTTTTCTATCATACCCTTTGTTCTGAAAATTTATATATGAGTTTTAACCAAATCTGTTTCTATGCCACTTTCCACATTTTTTAACTAAATGCTCGATGCTTGCTGATTTTGACTCTTAACAAACAAATAACGAAGCTTCTATATCATTTCAATATATCACAACCAGCTACTATTCAAATCTTTAAATGGTTTTCAAATAAGCAAGTGTACACGTTTACAGACTATCCATTTTGTCGTCTTTTAATCAATACGAAAATTGCTTTCTGATATCCCTAGAAAATTTGAAAATAGATCAGATTGCTTCAGGAAAATATACGCCGTATTGGGTGACTTTGCCACACCTTTTGAGGAAAATAAGGAGGGAAACTAATAACAGATATCTGTTCAAAGACAGGCAGACGTCGAATCAAAATATTAATCAAATTTAAATTTGAATTTTTGTGTTAAAAAAACTTATAAATGAGCATTTTTGTACCAGGTATTTAAAAAGATTACATGTATAAAGATACTAGTATAACCAATGAAATTGCCTTCAATATTACACACTTTATTTTTTTTCTCTACATCTTAAAGAATTAAATATAACTTTCATAGATTACTAAAACATTGTAATTACAAGAACAATGCAGTAAAATTAATTTATCTATAATAAAGGAGTGGTTAAAACAAACACGATACAACGAACAATAATATATTTACTGATGAACGTTGTTACAAAATAAAAACTTAATAAGTAAAGTTTAAACTATTCTTGCACTTTTATAAAATCACACTGAGTACAATTCAAATTCTGTTGGATTGAACACATTCTGGAGTCATGAGATGAATCACTCGGACGGAAATATCTCCTTGAAATATTTTAACTTGCAAATAAAATAATATGAAAATGTTAAAAAAAAAATAATCAACATCCTTGTTGATTTTCAAATACTTGTACTTAAAAATTTAAATACTTGTTTATTTATTATTTGCATTTAAAGTACCTATATTAAAAAAAGAACAATTAGAAAATATGATTTTTCTCTGGCATCAAAAAGCCAAAACGAGTTGAATTCATATCAATATGAAAGGAGGGGGAAATATGGTCCAGTTTTTAATTTACAAAGTTCGTACATATTGTACTATTGGCAGCCCATTACTGAGGAAGGATAAAGCCTTTCGATACGATTGGTCCTCCATTATACAGATGTAAAGCCGGCCAGACACAAAGGAGCACGATATTGCCTTTCTTGCTGTAGTGTTTGAATGACTTCTCGTCGATTTTGTCTCCGTTTTTAGCAAAATTTAGGGCCATTGGCGGATCCTGTAGGACCATGTTCCACGTGAGTTCAACCAGAATGTCTAGATAATCAGTAAGTCTTTTATCACGTGTGTAGCCCTCCTTCTGTTTTCTGAATGCCTAGATAATTAAGAAAAAGTCGACTTTTGTAAGCCTTAATTTGAGCATCATATCTAAACGTACGGAATTAGTGAGAAAAAGAAAATATAAAGGTTTGTAATACATGCATGTTAAAACGTAACTGTTTGTTTTACCTGTTTTACTGCGATCTATTATCTCTAAACACAATTGTTTTATCTACTAAAAGACACGCATGCATATATACAATGTGTCCTCTTCAACATGAATGAAAAGAAAGAATATCCAATATATTTACCATTTTAAGAGATTTGACTGACTGTTCTCCATATTTTTTCAAAAGGTCATTTAAAATGGCATTTGACCCTGTTAACTGGACATCTTTCAGTTCTTCTGCAATCGACAGTGATGACTGAAAGGTCAAAACCAAATTTTACATACCATAGAGCACAACTTAAGATATTTAACTGTATTATACATATACATGTACTTTTTTAATATTTTTAAATTAGTTGTAAGTTACTGTAAAAGCTATACATAAGACCTACTGGCAATGGGTTTCTGATCACCTCGGCTGTTCTTTTCATCAACTCGTGTCTCATTTTATCTTTAGTCTCATCAGAAAATTTGTAGCATTCCTACAATATTAAGAAGTATTTTATCCTGTATTGCACATCCAGTTCAAAATTTTTCCTAAAAAGAAAATGCAAAAATAGTAAGTATGTGTGTGTGTGTGTGTGTCACCTGTTGTACCCAACACCTGTTCTCTTGAGAGAAGTGGACAGGATTTTGCCTAATCCACGTATGCAAAAGCATGTCTCTAAAAGAGATTATCCAACACCCAGAATAATACCGGAACTAGAAATTATGTTACGAAATGGATGTTACATTTAAAAGCATCACGTTCCTCTAGATTCTTTCTAGACCATTAAAATTATCATATCCCCCGCTTGAAAAGTGGGAGGGTATACAGTAATCGGTATGTCCGTCCGTCCGTCTGTCCGTCCCTCCGTCTGTTACGCTTTGGGGTACCCATCTTATCCGCAACTCCTCTCATACCACTGAAGGAAATTTAATGAAACTTTCACAGAATCTTTATTACATATTGCCATTGTGCACCTCCTATTTTACTTCTTGATCTGATTTATATTTTGGATTTTTCAGCGCAAAACATGGATACTGCCATTCTATTCATATGGGAGGCGGGGGTATTATTTAGTGAGCTCATTGCTCACAGTACCTCTAGTTTTATTCCAACTTTTAGATATGTGACTATTTGGTTGTAAGAGATTTATAGCCTTATAGTTCTTATGAAAATAAATTTCTTCCTATAAAGAAGATCGGTGAACATTGAATATTTTTTGTATCTTTCATTTATAATATTTATCCCCCTTCTTATGAGTATTAAAAAGTAATCATACCTGGACTAAATTAGCTAGCTCTGTGACTACAGTCTCTTCTGTCTTTCCTTCTTCTTTTAATGCTTCAAAGGCTTCTGACCATTGGTCATCATACACTAAGGCAAACTTTTCTCCAATTTTAGTTGGCCTATTCTTATCACTAAGGTCAGCTATATTTGGGTTTCCTTGCGTTAATTGCTGACTGGCATATCTGCTCAATCTGCAGAAAAATACTGCTCTTTAAAATACCAATAAAAAGAGTATCTTAACAACCAAATACAATAAAAGCTTAAAAACCATAAGAAATAATGTGTCTTTTTAACTTTTCCCTTAATCATTGAAGGGTGTTTAATACCTTGTTGTCAGTTCCTCAATTTGTTGCTTTTGTTGGTTTACAGATTCCTTTAGCTTTTCATTTTCTTCCATTAATTTGTTGTTTTGGATCTCATTGATGGATCTCATTTGTTGTTGTACCTCACTATTCTCGACTGTCTGACTCCTAATATTTTGTCTTGATCCCTTATTATAAACATAACTTTGGCTAGGGCTTTGTCTCTAAATCGAAATTCTCAACAAAATTAATTGTAATAAATGTTTTCCAAAATCGTTACGGTAGGATAGTGGTAGGGCGTTCGTTTCGTGATCAAGACGCCTGGGTTCGATTCTAGTTGACTGCATCGCGTCAAATGTAAGACGTAATCCTGGGTTTTGACTGTTCTTTCCTACAACACCCGGAAAAGTTACGAGACTGAGATTGTATGTCGTTTTACGTCTCATTCGAGAATATTTCGCTCACATAGAGACTTCACCATAATACCGGTCATACCGGTGAAGGGATTCAAGTTTTTATCTTTACTAAGCACTTAAATATACGCGGTCATTGAACACTGATATTTCTTTATCGTGCTAACGTATATACCATGACACAGGACCTCTGATTTTAAGGTCTAATCCAAAGAACCCGCAACTTTCACTCCAGCGTGCCGAGCACATGGCGAAGGAACAGTTGCTACCCATTTTTATCGACATAGGTCATTCGCGGCCGAGATTCTAACTCACGACCTTCCTTACACGAATTGAGCGCTCTACCGACAGAGCTACCATGACAGTTGTCACGACAGGCATTGGCACGATAAAGATCCTACATAGCCTTCATGGCAGTAGGTGCCGAGTAAGGGTCAAAGTTTGAAGCCCTTCATCGGTATATAGTGATGTCTCTATGTGAGTGAAATTTTCTCGAATGTACCATCTCAATCTCCGAAGGCTATTGACTTTTACATCTCACTGCGGGTGCTTGGGAAAGAACAGTTAATACCTTTGCTTACGTCTTACGTTTGACATAATGAGAATCGAACTCAGGCATTTGATCACGAAGCAAACGCCCTACCTCTATGCTACAATATCCGTAACAAAGTCTTAGTGTCTATACATTACATAAAAATTATCAATGAAAAACTCGAGGGATCTTTGATACCATCTTCAGAGTACTTGTGTGTTCAATCAAAATGCTTTCAAAATCAAAATAGTTTTGCGGACAACCAGTGACAATGTGTTCCATTTTTTATCTGTTATACCGTATTTGGTAATGGGAAACTGGATTTTCTTGATTGTCCTTGGTTGAGGCTTGTCGTTGATGTCTGTAATAATTGATTTCATTTTTTTCAATACACATGTTGCGATTGTAACAGGAGATTGCAATTATCAAATAAATTAAATGTAAAATGCGAAGAAAACAAACATTGTTCAATCTTAAATAAATACTGCAAATGATACAAATTGGGAAGAAAGCAAAGTAAAAAAAAAAAACAAAACCAAAAAAAAAAACAAACAAAACGAAACAAAAAACATCCACACACCCTAACACACACAGAGAGACCTTAAAATTTTTTTAATTTGCCAGGGAATAAAGGGAACTCAATTTCATGCGTTTAAAAAAGACATAAAACTTCAACGTAATATATTACAAAAGAAAAATTACATACCTTACCAGCGTATGTTGATGGTTTACTTTGATTTCCAGAGTTCACGACAGTTTTGTTATTCTATATATTAACAATATGTTTAAATGATAGATTTTTAGTTGTTTTGGAATTAAAGTGATTCGTGCTTTTTCACTATTAATAGTCATCATAAAATATCTTCCTTCAAAAGTTAAGCTCCATGAAATAATAAACCATTCAATAATTAATAATATAGAGAAAAGAAATTTTAAAAATTTCAATTCAGTTAACCCCTTTAGACAAAATAACCTCACCTTGGTAGCAGACGACTCTCTTTTTTGATTTCGACATTCCAATAAGAAGACATAATTTTTCCAGACGTTACTATCCGCATTTTTTTGAGATTTCAAAAATCTGTACAAATCATCGGAGTCTCTGGTTTCCTCTAGCCTTGAATATGAAGTCTTACTACTCTTGATTTCTGTGTGCTGTTGAAATATTTGTTACGAATATATTTTATTGACTACATCAAAAGGATTAAACTTACAAATTGCTCATATGCATGTATTTTACAATATGTCAATACAAGAAAAGAGAGGACACATTTTTGTTCCAACTCTGTTCATACTTGTGTACAATGTTAAAATCATGTATACGTATATTCATTTCGGGTATTTTCTAGAGGACAAAAAACAAAAACAAAAAAAAGAAATTCATGAAAAAGTGCATTCAGTTTGATTATCTTACTTACAAGAGATGGATTGTATTTCTTCAGCCAGTTAGCGTGCTCTGTTAGCTGGGTTAATATGACTTCAGCTCTTCCTATTAGAGATCGATCAGCACCCTGCGTTTTCTTCGCTTCATTCAAGATGGAGCTTATCGTTTTTTCTTTCATTGACATTTTAACCTGAATCAAATTTAATTAAGTAATTATACACGTATATTTATCAATATATACAATTTTAACGGACACAACACATTTGATACACTTATGTAGCAAGTGTATTTATGTGTCATTCATTATACATGCAGCTTGCTTATAAATGTGTCTTACGCCAACTTTAAAATAGATTATAAATATAAATCGAATTAATAAAAATACATCTAATTTACATTACCATTTAAAACTGTGTATTTCATAAAGCTACAATGCTCTCCCGAGAAGGTACATATACGTTAGGTTTGCTCAGAGACATATAATAGTCTACTACGTACGTCTCTGGATCCCCAGACGCCATTTGTAAATAAAACCAAACCGAAAGTAGATAGTTGGTATTTATAAGGCAGTGAAAAAAGTAAAGCAGTTAATTATAGCCATGCACATTTTGACAACTTAGGAAAAGGTAAAATATTATTTTTTTTTATATTTCCTTGCATTTATTTAATTATTATTCTATTTATTTTGTATTTACTTTAATGCATGTTAACACTATGTTGAAAAAAAGAACGACAATCAAATACCTTATGTGATTTAAGCATTTGAAACAAAAATTAGTCAGATAATTAAGATTGCATATGAGCCCTTAATTGACAAACATGGTAGATTTTTCTTTCAGCTATGATGCTTTTTGTGGAGAGATCAAGAACTAAATAGAAATGTTTCTCATTTCATCTTAGTACCATAAAATTTGTCATATTTTGACCTACAAAGAAACCGTTAAAAATATCTGTCAAAATTTTATCCATCACTGATTTGTTTTTTGTTATTAGAAAAAACCCAAACGCGCATTTTTGCTTAAAATCTATCATATTATTAGTTTTTACCTTCTCGTAATACCTGTTTATAAATCATCTACATTATCGTGGAATCATCGTAAATTAAAAATAAAGTTTTAAAAAATCTTACAAAGGAGATGGGTGAACATGACGAGAAATAAGCCCATAGCGCAACAAACATGAAGGTGAAAAATAAAATCTCAATTATATCAAAATTTTCCTTTATATATCATCTAATATTAAAGTATACGTTATGTAAAATCTCTACAACTTGCACAAATCTCATGAATATTGAAGTTATTTGCCTATGAAATATTATACACACACGAAAGAGGACAAAACGAGTCATTTTTTCATACTTCAACACTATTTTTCCAGGCGCGTAGCATCGTTTTTGGAAGTGGGGGGGCCAACCTGAGAAATTTTTTTTTTTACTTACCTGAAGAAGTTGACAAGCAAAAAAAAAAAAAAAAAAGTCGAAAATCCTATTTCGTGGGGGGGGGGGGGGGGGGGGGGGGTAGTGGCTAACTTTTTTAAAGACCAACTTACTTTCAATTCAAACTTTTTGGGGTAAATTTTCTTATAACACTACCCTTTGCTGAAATGTGGGGGGCCAACCTTCCTTTCAGTAAACATTTTCTATAGTAAAGATAATGTCGGGAGAAAAAGTGGGGGGGCCTGGCCCCCCCTGGCCCCCCCTGATACTACGCCCCTGTTTTCGATATGAGTGGGTCTTCTCTCCATTAATGTAATTTTATGACATAACTTTCGTACCTTTTCAAGAAATACTTGAATTAAGTCCCTTAAGTCAATGGTCATATCACAAACATGATTTAAATGCCACACTTCATCAGGACTTGTGTAGCGTAGTGGTTAGCGTGCTAGTCTCAATAGAGAATGCAACTCAGGATTTTTATTACCAGGGTTCGAACCCAATGGATACCATATTATTTTTCTTTTATAAAAGAATAAATTTTAACGAAAAATTTTCCTCAAAATTTTTTTTTTATCATGATTTCATAAAAATCAATGATGAGAACTTTACTGTAAATACTTAATTCACAATTTGAATATGATTTTTACATATCTGAAGCTAGTGGGCTTTTTGCACGCTAAGTCCACCCATCTCCTTTTATGTTTCAAAATTTTGGAAATTTTATCATAAGTTTTATTTCATCATAAATGGTAGATTTCAAAGCATTAATTTATTTTCAGACAATGTAACCAACCCCCATACCTCTGATTCAGGTGCCCTGAAATTAACCATATCCATATTAAGTACCAGTCCACATAAAAATCAGACAAAACTGTTAAAAAGTGATACATGAAGGTCTTCAGAATTTAATGATTTTCCACTCATAGATTTATTTTGAAGTATGAACAATGTATGTAAAATGAAAAATGTTTTGAGTCATGGTAACCATGGAAACCCGGCCAAAGAAATTTCCTTAGCAACCGGTGGATTTTTCAGTGTTGAAGGATAAAAAATCACCTATCTTTGAGGCTTAAAATAACACGTAAATACCATGAGAATTATTCTTACTTTTAGGTGTAATAAAGATACACATTTATTGTGTTCTAATAATGTAATAGAAAATATTTAGGTCTTAAGTCAGTTCTGTAGTAGACATTGGAAGGTACACATGTTTTACAAGTTTTGCTGATTCAGCATTTTTCGTGATTTTGGCAATATTCAAGGCCAAATTTTAAAAATGGCCAGATTAATACAGTTGTTGCATGTATCTCACATAAAAGCAGAGGTATTTCTCTTTTAGAATTTGAAGTCAAATCCATGGGCTCTTTTTAAAATCGAACCTGTTGCCTAGCAACAAAAATGGGCTTTTTGATGCATAAAATGAGAAACAATGTAAAAAGTTTACGGAAAAATCAAATGAACGGTTATTTATGATAAACGAGATACATATTTTAAAATAGTATAATTAAATTCGGTCTCCCTAGCACATTATTGAGTATTGCATAATTCTTTATCTCCATAGCAACGACAGGTTCTCCATAGCAACAAGGCAAAGAAAGGTAATTTTGGCGTGTATTCGTGTAATCTTATTAAGACTTATTCAAATTAAGTCAGAAAAATGTGATTGAGCAAAACTGACAATGAACTGTCGGTCAATCTTAATTTTTTTTTCGTCTTTAATCAACACATGGCAACGATTCCCAGTGCCTGGCAACCAATGTACCCTATGTCTCCTGTAAAGAAATTTGACTCTTGGATCAGTGTTCGTCATGGAAATGAATATTAAATTTATGTGTTGATGATTGTATTTGTGGAGAGTGCTGAAAAAATATATGAAATGTTCCATCAATTGTTGTCATGGCAACAACTACATGTGAGTGAATTTAAAATGGGGCGAGTTAAAAACAAGAGGCCCATGGGCCTTATAGGTCACCTGAGCATCATGCAACAACTTTCAAATGATTGAATTTGGTTCATGTTTTAAGCTAGATGCTGACATTCACAATTTTGAAAGAGGCACCATTGCTAATCATAACTATTACACTTAGCAATTGTTTTGTTTGTTTACTTAATACCGATAAGCAGGGTAGGGGAACAAAAAAGTATGTCAACTAATCAGTAATATTCAGCAATAATCAGGAGTGCTCCTACCAGATATGAACCCCTGACCCTAGGTCTTCACATTGCACAATTTTTGAAAAGGCATACTTGCTTATCAAAAATGTTTGATTAATACCAAGGAGCAGATTTCAAACAATTCATTTTCAGTATATGAGTAGAGCCCCCCCTTTCCCAATTTTGGTATCCCTGACCCGGGGCCTTGAAATTCACAATTCTGGAAGAAGAGCCCATCATAACTATGTAAAAAGTTCATCTGCTTATTACCCAGAAGTAGAGAAAAAGATTTTCATAGATGTAATGTATTTTCACCATATAATCATTATAGAGCCCCGCCCTAACACCAGAACCCCTGACCCTGGGGCCATAAAATTCACAATTTTGGTAGAGGCACTCTTGCTCATCATAACTATGTACTTAGTTTATTTAATACCTAGGAGCAGAGAAGAAGATTTTCAAAGATTTAATGCATTTTCACTATATAATCAATAGAGCCCCGCCCTAACACCAGAACCCCTGACCCTGGGGCCATGAATTTCACAATTATGGTAGAGGCACTCTTGCTCATCATTACTATTTACTTAGTTAGTTTATTTAATACCTAGGAGCAGAGAGGAAGATTTTCAAAGATGTAATGCATTTTCACTATATAATCAATAGAGCCCCACCCTTACACCAGAACCCTGACCCTGGGGCCATGAATTTCACAAATTTGGTAGAGGCACTCTTGCTCTTCATAACTATGTACTTAATTAGTTTATTTAATACTCAGGAACAGAGAAGAAGATTTTCAAAGAAACAATGCATTTTCACTATATAATCAATAGAGCCTTACCCTAACACCATAACTCCAGACCCTGGGGCCATAAAATTTACAATTTATGTAGAGACACTCTTTCTCATCATAACTATGTACTTAATTTGTTTATTTAATACTCAGGAACAGAGAAGTTGATTTTCAAAGAAATAATGCATTTTCACTATATAATCAATAGAGCCCCACCCTAACAGTCCAGAACCCCCGTAACTTGGCACACAAGTAGACTACACTAAGAAATAGAATAGTGCATCGGTTTTTGATTTCGATGAACGGTGTTGCCATGGTTATTATAAATAGAATTTTCAGTGAAATTCTTTTAAAACACTACTCCTTCTACAGTTTTGGTCTGATGGCAATGGCTTCTTTTCTCCTCCTTTGTTAGAAGTACAAACCAGTAGAGCTACAGTCTCGACAGAGACTTCTGGTTTCCAAACAGCATCATTTTGAATTCCTAATTTTAAACCTATTCTACAACGTGTCTGTGGAAAGTGGGGGGC